TTTATGATTCATCCGCTCCTTTTCGATATCTTCGATAATCTTCGATGTGAATTGGAGCCGAGTAATTTGTTTTTCAGTAGTGTTTGAGACATATAAAATATAAGAGTTCAGCACCATTCTTCCAAATAAATTGAATACTACTTTCTTCCAATATTTTAGGGTTCTTCGCTCGTCCAAATACACATATAACATTTTGTCCGACTCATCCACACCTCCCATGTATTTATTGTAGTCATCAATCACGCTCGGTTTCACCTTTTCGTATTCAAAATTCCCTTTCTTTTTCTTGATCGTCACATTCTCAGTATCTGCATTGGATGAGATCAATATGACTGGGTTTGTTTTGGACTTTTTGTCTCTGAAAGAACACATCAAAATATCTTTATGTGCTAGGTATTTGGCTTCCCCTACGGTTGCTTTCTTAGCTTCTGGAGGAATCTCTTTTCGATTGCGTCTTATTGTTCCAGTTAGGTATGTATTCTGTTTCAAAAGGGATTTGGCCAGGCGTAAGCTTGTGTAAAAATTGTCTGTAAACAAATGGTAACCTTTGTTTAGATAATTTCCAATTCAAAGCAATTTTTGCACTACTGCAAATCCAAGACCATATTTTTCTAGTGAATCTCTGTCGTCTGTGCTTTTAGCTCCTTTGTAGCAGAAAAGCCCAATCAATATTTAGAAACCGAATCGCAAAGCATCCAAAATTTGATCCCCCATTTATGATGTTTCTTGTTTGGGATGTATTGTTTTATGGCAGAGTGGCAGTGAGTACCAACTAACGACTCATCGATAGACAATTGTTGGTTCGGTATGTAATGTCGCTGAAATACAGTGTTTGCGTGTTTGACAAGCACATCAAACCTGCCACACGGGTCATAATTTGGATGGCCTGGTTCAAATAATAACCTATTGTCAACCAAGTGAAAAAACTTCAAAATCAGCTGAAATCTATCCCTTGAAAACATTTTTCCAAACCATGGTATATATCGGGAATTTTTTATCCAATAACTATAAACTGTTGGCCTTCTCGTAATCCCCATTTCGATTAAGACTGCAATAAAGGCTTTTATTTCGTGTACTGTTGTCGGTGTCCACTTTTTTGCTCGAGAATTTGCAGGAGCTGCATGTGAAGCCAAAAACTGGGTAACATTTTGATTCGTTTCCTTTACGATGGTTTTGAGCAATGACATAGTAAAAAATAAATTGAAATAGGTTATGGGTGTGGCATCAGAAGGAGGCGCCCGTCTAGGTCCAGAAGTCTCGAAAAAATTATTTGTTGCTTTAGAAAACACTTTTGTCGGAGGAATATTGGCGAAAGTTGGTGTTTCATCTGTTTCTGAAGATGAATTTGAAGTAGAAGACTCATTTTGAATCCTCAATCGTTTTTTTCGATGCACTATAATACTGTTATCATCACTGTTTGAATCCGTTGTTTCACTCTCCACATAATCACTAGAGATCGAATCATCGTCCGAAGTAAAAGCACATGACATGGTTATTTTTGCTAAATAATATATAATAACGGTAAAAAATTATTTTTAAAAGTATAAGAATGCACTCTAGTAACAAATTATGCGCGAGATTAGAATACGTTTACTCTCACGGAGCACCAAAAACACACTGCCCTGCGCAGCAGTTTTGCGCCGCGCCGCAATTTTCGACACAAACTATCGGATCAGTTTTGCGCGCGTAGCACTCTAACGGTTAAAGTATCGTTTCTGCTCGAGTACGATTCGAGTCTCGTGAGTCTGTTCAGTCGCGTGAATATGAGACTTTTCTGTGCGCGTAACTGTTTAATGCGCGGAGTAACGTATTTATCCGTTGTGTTACTGTTTTTTTACACGAGGAATCGTACAATCTCTATGGCTCTGTTTATGTCGGTGTTCAGTTTGTCCAGGAAATCGTCTATTTTTTCTATTCTTAAATTTCTGTTGTTTGGTACGTCCGGGATATCGGTCAGGTATTTTGTAAATTTCGTCCAGTCAGCTTTATAGAAGTTGAATAGGTCCGGGATGACTGATTCGTCTGTTTCTAGCGTACCCATCGAGGGTATCGATATTTCCATCAACACTGCTCGATGGTCGCTATCATATTCGAACGAGTCTAGGGTGTGGTGGCTGGGTGTGTTGTGAAATGCAATGCGACCATCCGCTAAGCAGAGGTCTATGAAGGCCCCGCTTTTCGGATAGGATGGTACTGCTGTCCTATGGATGGGGGTATAGTTTTTGAGGGCCCACACGTTCAGTTTTGTCCCTCTGCTATTGTTTGTGGCATTACCCCAGGAGTGATGTTTCGCGTTCAGGTCACCGGCTAAGATATAATAATTATTGACTCTATATAATTGAAGCTGCCTGAATAGCGATTTAAACTCTGCCATAAACTCTTTGTTACCATTGAGCGCCGCGTACCCTGCGATTATGAATAGCTTAGCCCTTTGAGGGCCCACACGTTCAGTTTTGTCCCTCTGCTATTGTTTGTGGCATTACCCCAGGAGTGATATTTCGCGTTCAGGTCACCGGCTAAGATATAATAATTATTGACTCTATATAATTCAAGCTGTCTGAATAGCGATTTAAACTCTGCCATAAACTCTTTGTTACCATTGAGTGCCGCGTACCCTGCGATTACGAATAGCTTAGCCGCGCCTTGAAGCTTTATTTCTATAACTGTTGATTTTGATATAACGAAGCTTTTGCCTGTCGTTTCGTGGTGTAAGCAAATGTGTCTAAATTTAATGTCTTTACGTATGACGATGCCCGTTCCTCCAGCTTGTTTAGCATTAGGTCTATCATTTCGCACAAAATTGTAATTTTCGAATACAATTCTGTATCTGGCGTTTAATTTAGTCTCACAAAGCAACACCATGTCTGGCTTGCGGTCGTTGAGACAATCTTCTCCGAGTAGCGTTGCATTGAACGTGTCAGTCGGTGTGACTCGCGTCGGTTTGTTGCGACCACGTTAGCGATTTGATTCGTTTCTGTATGCGTATGTACATGTTTGCCCGAGAGAATCGCGCTGTAGGAAATAGCCGGATTGATGGTCTTATTCGCGATTTGTTGTTTCCGTTCCCTTTCCGCTTTGATCATTTCTTTGCGTGTATCTATCTGTTGCTTCATTTCTTGAAGCTTTGGGCATCCTCTGTAGGAAGCGGGATGCCCAAAGCTTTTGCAATTAACGCAGAAAGGTTTGTCGACTGTCTTGTCTGTTCTCGTGCACCCTCCTGGATTGTGTTGGAGATTGCATTTTACACATCGGTATTCTAAATTACAATTCAGTGCGATGCGACCAATTCGTTGGCACCTCTTGCACTGGTCTCGACCTTTTTTAATTACTTTTTCCCAGTGTATCAGGGAATGAAGTACGATCTCAATTTGTTTTAAATTATCTATTTTGCTGCTAGGAGACAGCCGAACTATGTAAATTGGCAGTTTTCTCCCTTCTTGAATAGATTTCCGCGTTTCGAATTTCTTAACGGTTTGAAATTTAATATCGGGGATGTTTCTTGCGCGGAGATGTTGAGGACGATTTCCGGCTCAAAGTCACCGTCGAGATTCTTTAGTAACATCGACGTGTTCCTCGTTACTTTTGGGGAATAGGCAAAGAACTTTATCGTGCGCGGAGATCGAATCAACGTGTAAGAGGTGCTTGTCATTCGTGATTTTTTCTGTGTAAAACTCACGAATCGCATTAGAGACTATTTCAATTGTCGTTTTCGTCGGCGTATCGATTACCGTTATGGGGGGAGGCCTTGTGCCTCTTATCTGCTTATCAGTAGTTTTCGGTACGTTGTGATGCCCGTCCGTGTTGATTGTTCTAATTTTCTTCGCCGATGGTGGAGGAGGTGTTTCCATCCTTCGGGGTTGCTGGTGAAGGCTCGTACTGCTGCAGGCCGCTGGGCTCCTGGCTTGGCTGGATGGGGCCGAGGTCTTTTGGTTGACCCGACTTTTGTCCATGAATCCTTGTCTTCCGTTGTTGCTGTTTTCCTCCGGGGTCGAAGGGTTTTTTTGGGGTCCTCGTTACCTGGGTCGGCGGCTCGGCTTGGCTGGGTGGCGAAGGATGGGAATTTCCACTGTTATTCTTCTCTCTCTCCTCTTCCAGTTGTTTGGACAGATATTCCACTGTTTTATTTAATTTTTATATGATTTTCAGTAAATAATCGTATTGTGCTGGTTTTCCGTTTTCTTCTGCTGTCTACTTAGTAAGGGCTGATTTATTTGTTGGCGCCATATTTAGCGACTGCGATGGTTGTACTGTTGTACTTTTCTTTAGCGATTAACCTTGGCACGGCTTTTAGAGTTTTCGTGCTTTTTATGTTGGATGTGTTTTCTATTTGTGCATTTATTTTATTCATGCACTTCCGTATTAATCCTTTTTCTTTTATTTTTCTCAAAACTTCATCGATGTTATCGATTCTGCTATTTTCATTTATCCATGGCGTTTCTTCTGATTTGTTTTGCACTGTTTGCAAGGGATTAGACCCTTGTGTATTTGATGTGATATCTATTTTGATATTTCGTCACTGCACTATGGAACGTTATAGAACTGCACTATAGAAAGCGTTTTCACCCTTGGTACACAGCAGGTATGCGTTCTAGGTTTGCTTTGACTGCGGAGGAGGATTGGGCGGCACGTCCGTCACCCTCGTAGGTCTAGGCAAAAAGTGGGAACTTTCGGGTGTTACTGTTAGGCCACAACACCATTTCAAAATCTTGGGAAATAAATCTGTAGTTAAAGAAGTAATAAAACTTTAAAACTTTAATTGTAAATATTTCAAAAAGTATTGAGTGGTGGCGGGTATAATGGTATATATCCTTGGACTGCATGACGAAATTTACAATCCTACAAAGTTTCAATTAAATCGGTGACCCGAAGACTTGCAACTCTCCTTGTTAGATTTACATGTATTGCAAAAAGTCACGACTTTTTTCGTCAAATTTTTGGCTGTCTTGCGTCTTAATAGGTTTGCATTTTTATTGTAACATCCTGAACAATATCTGCGGACTTTATGCGCGTCCCTCAAAAGCTAATTTTTTATACCACTTTAGAATTCTTCTCAAATGACTGCTATATGCACTTATTTGGTCCTACAAGTCAATAAAGGTCTTTGCCTTATTATATTCAGCTATAATTTTGGGTTTGCGGCAAAATCCTCTTTTTGTTATCACATTTATCATTTCGCTTGAATGTTTTGTCGACAGGACCAAACCGTCTCTCTTGTTTTTCCACTTCAGCACTGTAATACCATTATTATTTTCTTTGGCGATAATTTCTCTGAATTTCAATTTACTACTTATTACTTCGTATGGATTTCTTTCACGATGTGTTCGAAGTGTACTAATCAGATGTGTATTTTTGTCTATCAGCTTATTTGCCAAATCTACACTGGTGTACCAATTATCAGTATACAACGTATGACCTTTATGAAATAAAGTGTTAAATAAACACATTACAATATTTATTGGTGTTGTGTTTTTCTTGTCAAGAGTCTTTCCAGCGTAGATATGAAAATTGTATGTGAATCCATGCTTACAGCACAACTTAAATATTTTTATGCCATATTTGTGTATTGTCTGCTTCAAATACTGCCTGAATATGATTCGCCCGCGGAATGGGATTAGTGATTCATCGATGCATAGTACCTCGGGTGGATCATAATATTTTACAAAATTTTTATTTAAACTTTCGATGATCTCGATAAGTAGACTCTAAAATTCTCTATTCGGCGTTTCGTAGAGAACTGATTTCGTTGTCGATTCGATTTGAACTGCCTGACAACTCGATTGGAACTCGACTCTTCGACGATTCGATTAGAGAACTCAATTCTTTGACGATTGAAAGGGAACTCATGTTCCTCGATTTTCCTAAGATCATTCTATCAGCCAAATATTATTAATATAATTATAAATATAATTGGCTGATTTGACCAAGGCCGTTCTGCGATTACCTCGAAGGAAGGGAAGATTCCCCCAAACGAATACGGTAGTGAAGGAAACCCTCTCTTCCATGGTGAGGTACGTGGGGTCCACCCGCGCGCTGATGACCCCATCGGCCGTTTATGGCCCCTCGCTAGGGCCTGAGACTCGCAACGTGTGCGGACCACGTGAAGTCCTTAGGCCCATTGTCAGCCAAGTCTTAAGAGCCGTCGCCTAATTTCGTTAAATTAGGCTTGTTGCGTCCCGAACACTGTAACTCACGCGGTGCGAGTTTCGCGGGGTTGTAAGGCCCGTTTACGCAGATGCGGCAATGTTGCGGGAATGCGGCCTACTCTAAATTAATAGAGCTAGGGCTGGTTATGGTTGAACTACAAGTTCCGATGCGTGACTGTCTCCTGCGCTGAGTTGATGGTGGGTTCTGGATGATAGTCTGGTCATGACGATTGTCCTGTTTTCGTGAGATTTTAGAACTCTCTCGTAATTGCTGTCTCGGTGGTTTCATAAGTTTAGTCTATCTACTGTTTGGTTCATGTGAAATGTAAGTGGCGGGTGTGTGTCTTCCTATTGGTTGTGAATAATATTGGAGGCGTGTGTTAGCTTCGACGTCTTTCTGTGGTAGTGGATGTTTAAATAATTTGGGTGGCTCCTGTGGCTTTTTGTGTTTTTAAGTTTCGTGTTTGTTCGGTTATTTCTTCCACTGTTAGTTCCTGTTCTGCATCATCTTCGACGTGTCTTTTCCACCTAGCAAGTTCATAAAATGTGTTTTTCATCTTTCTATTGGTATATCGTTCCTTATCCTTATCCTTTTTTTTCTGTATTTATTTATTATTTTCCATGCTTCCGTGCCCGATCTTATTGCCTTTATTTCTGCCGTTAATTTTTCCGCTGCCTCTAACCTTTTCTTTTTACATAATTCTCTGTGACACTCTCTACTCCTTATATAGC